AGGCCCGAGCCCAACCTGCATCACCAACAGTGGTGTGTGAGGAGCTTAGCAGGAATACTTTGGGATATTAAAAGCGAAATCACTTGAAAACCAAGCGCTCTGTCAGCACAGGACCATGTTCTTGGTCTCACATGTCATGGTCAGAACCTTTCCCCTGAGGACCTGGCTTTCTGGAGCATCCCGAGGGACCCTGCTGTGAAGTTGGATCTCAAGTTGGTTGCTAATTATTCTTTATATCCCATTAAAAGGCAAGAAAAGCACATAGCTGTTAATCTGAAGAGCTCTCCTGCATCCATAGCTCTTGGTACTGGAGCTCATCCGGAATCACACCCAGCCCCTGCACCGAGCACCAGCCCAGCCCAAGAGCAGGGTGCGAGTGCCCATTGCAAAGCCAAAGCCCAGTCGCTCATTTCCCTTCAATCTTTCACCTTATCCCTCCAAACTCCTTGGCCATAAGGAAAATCCCTCTGGTTCCAGCTCAGAGCCCATCCCCACAGGGCTCAAGGCAGACTTGGGCTGATTGCACGGGCAGGCAAACACGCTGCAACCTTCAGTGAACCTTCAAACCTGCCTTTCCTGCTCTTCCCTTGGCTACAGCCAGTCAGAAATAGTTGCAGGGCAGCACCATGGTGGCAGCAGAAAGCTCCGCTCTTGGCAAGGAACCCAGCTGCAACCATCCTGCCATAAATCCTTGCCGGCAGAAACCCTCAGCTCCTTTATCTTACGTTTCCTTTCCTGACGGAAGATGATGGTCATAAAATGGATGTCTGGTCCCCACATCCCTCATGCAGAAGCAAGCAAAGCTGCTGCACTGAAGGATTTATTTGGCTGCTTTGTGGGAAGCAGCAGGATCAATGGGAAGGGACAGGAGCTGCCGGGTCTTGTGCTGGCAGCCCCCTGCCCATCCCTGGGGCTGGCACGGGCATCGGGCTACGGAGTGGGGCAGCGGCGGGATATGGGAACGTGCCTTTGGACGGCAGGACGGTGCTACCACGTCCCATGGGAAAGGGCACAGGCTTCCTTATCCCCCTGCCCGTTTTGTGCCTTTCACACCAAACCCCTTCACCCCTCTGGCAATGCCACGAGCGCAATGCAGAACCAGGCTCATTAGCTGCAGATCCGGGTTGCTCCAGAGGTTTGCTCCGTGTCCTCCAGGTACCGGCTGCCCCCTGCTCCTGTCCCTTCCCACAAGCTGGAGCCTTCCTAAGGCTTCCCCACCACCCAGCACCACGCGTGCGGCCGGTGCTGATGCAGGACCTCACCTGGGTGCCGTGCGCGGCCGCTCCGGGCTCAGCGATGAACTTGTGCCGGCTCCTCAGGTTTGAGAGATGAGGGCATGGGGAGAGCCAGGACGTTGGGGCCATCACCTGACCGCAGCGGGGCTGGCAGGCGCATGCTATGTCCTGCTGACAGCTGAGCTCAAGGGGGGAGAAGCAGCCTCGGGTGTTAAAGGGAAGCAGCGCATGAGAGGGGCCGGGATGGAGGCGAGGGGCTGGCGTCCCGCACCGTGGATCTCTTGTGCAATCGGCTCTCCAGGAAAACAACTGCTGCTCTTTCCCTGGCTGTTTTCCACTTTCCTGCCCGGACAAGCCCTCCCCTGCTGTTGATCCCGTCCCAGCAGGACCGGATGGATGCTGGCTTCCAGGGAGCTCCCTAGGACAGCCCGTGTCCCTTGCCCCCCTCCAAACACCCACTGCTGGGTCCGATCCAGTGCATGCCGAGGGTTCTGGACGTCCCCACTCATCCCAGTCACGCAGGAGCTGTGTGTTACGTAGCAGATTGCACAGCACACCCACTCCAGGCATCCCATAGGATAAGGAGGGGGTTTCCGCTCTCATCACCCCATCCCAGTCCCCATCAGTAACTCGAGGACATCAGCAAAGCAGTGCCCATGCTGGGCCCCACGAGCTGTGGTGGGTTTGGGCTTCACAGCCAAACAGCAGGAGGTTGGGGGGGGAAACCTCGCTGGTGGGATAAGGATTGATGGATGTGGTAATTCTCACTAACTGGAGGAGAGAAAACAGGCTCATGGGGAGCAGAGGGATCGAACTGATGGTCAGGAGCAGAGGCTGAGATCAAAGACAGGGATGAAACAAAGATTCCCGAGCCCTGACTCCCCTCTGCTTTATGCTGAGTTGTTTTAGCTCAGGAAAATGCCTTTTTCTCCTCAATAAGCTTGGTTTCTGAAGGAAAAATCGCTGAGCTGGGCACTGTGCAAGGCCACCGTGGTGCATCCCCACCAACAGCTTCACAGCCCAGCCCAGCAGAAGGCAATAGTGTCAGAAAGTCCCCTGAGGCCCCTTTGCCAGCACACACCTTTGTCCTTGGCCAAGGTCCATCCTGCTGGGTACCCTGTGTATTTTTAATGCAAGTGTTACCTGAAGCAATCTCGTGTTGGAGCAGCCCTGCCTCACATTAAAACTGTGCTAATTAGGAGCTAATTACAGACATGCAGCTATGATTACCCTTGGTTAGCACTGCAGGCTGCAGCCCCCATCCCAAAGCTCTCGCAGAGGATGCTCAGGGACCTCCTCAAGGACCTGCTTCCAACCGGTTTGACATGGAAGTGGCTCAGGAGCATCCTATGAGCCCAGCCCAGCTCCTGCCCCAGCCAGCAGCTCCTCACCACCCTAAGGGTGTTTAAACACCGGATGTGGTCCTGCAGCAGGTCCCTGGGATGTGACCCAGGGGCAGGCAGTCACCTCCATCAGCAGCAGCTCCAGTGTCCTGCCATGCAAGAGCACAGAGCGCACGCTCTGCCCTGGGGTGAGCCCAAAGCCAGGTGAGGTTTCCAAAGCCCACTGGAGTCTCCTCACTGATTAGAGCCAATTGAAAACACCCATGTTTCCTACAGGAAGGACTGCTCTGTTAGGGCACAGGTGGGAGGTGAGGCCAGGACGTGGACCTTGTGCTCTGCTGTAGTGAGGGTTCGTTCAGTAACGTGCACAGAAACCTTTCCAGCACCTACCTGGAGGCTGTTCTTGGAGCTTCACTGAAGTCAAATCCCAAGGTGGGCACTGGGGAGTGATGGGGCTGTGCCCGAGGGAGGTGCCTTGGGGCAGGACCCACTGGCAGTGCCGGGATTGTGCTGTTTCCTCTCCGGTTCACGCTGATCTTCCCAGGAGAACTGGCACAGCGCCCCATAAACAAGGCACAGCATCAGCTGTCGTGTCAGCAGGAGACGAAACATGCAACGGGAAAGGCTTTAAATGGAAGCAGGAAACGAAAAGATAAAGGGCCGATTTCATTTTAGATGCCTGGTTGGTACAGATTTCCTCTCTGACAGTAAGGGATGCCACGGCTTTATCAGCCCCACCGCTGGAGAGTTTATTTATAGGGACTTAACACTGCAAGAACCTAAGAGGGGGAAGTTTGGCTGTGGCTGGGTGTGAGCTGGAAGGAGAGCAGGGCAGGGATGAAGCACCCAGCTACTGCCTTTCCTTTGAAAGGACCTGGGGTTCTGGGAAAACTGCTGGTACCGCAGAAACCATCAGCACTGCTTGTATGGAACGGCAGGAGCTTGGCACAAAACTCCTCTTCTCGGCTGTCATGACAGCTCGTCAAAGAAGGGACACGGGGGGAAGACTATTGCAGAAAACATCACGGCAGCTTGGCTGAAAGCAAACATCCTCTGGCACGTGTAATTACACCAAGCTGAAGACTATTTCCTAACCTTGAATGTATTTCAGCTGTAACTTAGCAACCCACGCTGAGTAAAAGCATCTGAACAGGAGCGCAGGTTCAGAGGAGAGATTTAGCCTTGCATTGCCTTTTGTTCCCATACCTTAGCAACAGCTCCACAGCAGGGAGGAGGTAACCAGCTCCCACCAACTTCCATAGCAGCCACGGAGCCAACCTCCTCCTGCACCGGTGGAGATCTCCCCCTTTGTCACCCAGACCTGCAGTGGGAGGTTAAGGAAGCGCTTCTCGAACCAACCACGGGTGAGTCAACCGTGTCCACAGGAGTTACACAGCGCTGACTCACGGACTGGTCGTGCTGCTTCAGGAGAGGCTCGGAGGAACCTGGAGCTCGTGGTGGCAGGAGTCGAGTCACTGACATGGATGGGAGAGGAACTGAAAACACACAAGGAAACAGGTCCTGTAGACAAGCTGCACTTGCACATCTTCTGCTCACCAGGGATCTGAAACACAGTCCAACACTTGGCTTCTTGCCTTTTTCCTTAAGTATCCACGACCATCCAATACCCACCTGAGCTCCCATCCTTTTACAGTGCTTTGTAACCACCCTGCTTAAAGCCTATGAAGCCCTGGGACACAAGGAGGGAAGTGATGTGTCCAGTGATGAGCAGCAGCCTGTGAGCATGGGCAGTGAAGGGCCCTTAGAGTCCATCCCACTCCAGCACCGTACCAAACCCTTCCCTCAGTACTTCCCAGTCTCCCTGCAGCATCACCTGGCACTTCACATCACATCCCAAAAGCCATGGCCTGAGGATGCCGCAATGATAGGATCAGCCACTCAGCCCAGAGTCAGGATTGTTGGGAGCAGCTGTTCACTTCAGCCACCCAACGTGTGAGGGATCTGCCTTGCACAGAATGAGCACAAAACACATGGAGCTTGGGACACCCCCACTCAGCTGCCACAGCCTATTGCACCATCCCATCCCCTCCAGAAATAACTGCTTGCTTTGGGCTACAGGAGTACTGCTCAACCTGCTCAAGCACTATTTAATCTCACAACCCTCCCAGCTGTGAACCTCCACAAAACACAGCGAAACAGCTTCCATCCACACCTCTGCTTAATGCCAAGTGCTCCCAGAACACAGATTGAACGTGCAGGCAAACACCTGAGGCTGCTGCCACCACCGTGATCGCCGGCGTCACAGGAGCCACCGTCTCCTTAGGCTGTCACGCCAGCCCCGTGCCATCTTCAGTCTTATTCTTAGAAACCCTGAGCTCCCTGGAGCAGGATTTATTTGCTCTGCCCGAGCAGAACACTTGGAACAATGTGTGACTCCTCCATCAAAATAAAAGTAACAAAGCATTCGTTATAAATTTATTGTATGTATTGATTTACAGAGCTAAACTGAACATACGAACAGCACCAAGCCAGTGACATTTATTCTACAAACCCAAGTTGAATACAAAAAGATGACTGCAATGCCTGACTCTTCACTTCTGGATTTGGACGGGTAAAAAAAAGCTAAGCCAAACCCCACAAATTCATTTTAAAAAGGCTTAAGAACGTAGGCACCGGTGTTTGCAAGGATTCCATGGCAGCAGCGAGGAACTCGTTACAGCACTTCAGCAGAACCAAGACTGCCTTCGCTTTAGTCCCTATTTTATTAACAGTGGAAGACGCTGGTCGCTGTCTCAAAGACAAGTGGGAATCTCCTCTTCCATTCAAACACCTTCCCTTTGTGACCATAACAAAAATACGGGGGCAGAGTCAACTCCACGCAGATCATTTCCTATTTCATGGGAAAGACCTCCCCGTGCTTTGTTCCTGGAGAGATCCGCTCCCTCCACTCGCTTTGGTGGTACCCGAGGGGTCTCTGCAGCCCTGCAGCAGCAGCCTGTGGGGTGTGCAGGTGGGAAACGCACCGAAGCAGACCTCATACCCAGAGGTGAGCAGGGACTGGCACCAGGAACCCACCTTGTGTGTGGCACCAGCAGCCCGCAACGCTAGAGCAGGGCTTTGGCAGCCGTTCTAAGCCAACCCAGAGCCTGGGGAGGAAGCCGAGCACACTTCCAGGGCCAGAGATGAACATGGGCATTCAGAGAGTGCCCGTGTGCTGAGGAGAACCACATCCACGGTGACACAGGCTCAAATGAGAGCTGGCTTCCCTGCAGGTTTTGCCACCTTATGCCAGAAATTAAACTGGTCCCTGCTGTCTTGGCGAGCTCTTTTGCAGTTATTGGGAAGAGCAGATCAGCAGTATCTCTGCCTATAGCCTAAACTGCCACACACTGGTGCTATTTTCTTTGAAACAAACACTTTTGCTGGACATAAAAAACTTAAGTAAAGAAATTATTATAGATTACAAAATACGACGCCTGCAGCATGAACAGAGGATTGATCAGTGCTCCTTGTACCCACTGTGAGGCTGCAGGAACACTGACTCAGCAATCCCACCCCCATGCTGCACGCCTGGTACGTCTCTGCTCTGACACACAGCACACACATTGCAGCTGCCCAGGATAAACATGTACATTCAGCCCTAATAGCCTTTCTAAAGCTGCTCTTTAATAGCTCACTAAGCAGCCCCTTTGGCTGTAGCCACAAGAAAGCGCTTTTGGAAGCTTCCTATATCCTTTATTTTCCACCCAAATTCCCCCCACCCCTCCCAGAAATCATAAAGCACACAGACTGCAGACTTAAGAAGTGTAACAGGGTCACAAGCACTCTTCCAGCCCACCCAACCCAGCCCAAACCCCCAAGGCACGTCAGACTGCCCTCCCTCTAGGACTACCTTCACCTAATTTTGCCCCCTTTTCCCCATTTTTTAAAGGGTGAAGCCAACACATTTTCCTCACTAAGTGCTTTCCTCACTCTTTTGTACTGATAAAAACAAATCCTAACAAAATGCAGCTGAACTCCCACCCTAGTGTTTCCATGGGAAATGTTAACCTTCTTTAACACATTCCCTGATGGACATTGCCACCAGTTGGCCTTTGCAGAACTGAGGTCAAATTTGCAAGGCTTTGTCAGAGAGATCCCAAGTCCCTCGACATCAGATAGGCCTTTTTAATATTGTTTTCAAGTTGGTCTAGGTTTGCTTGCTCCTGGAAGCCAGACATCTGCTGGAAGGCTAACTTTGGTGCAATTCTAGCTTCTCATCTCAAGCCCATCTTCTCTCCAAGCCAACATTATTGCCCTGAATTTGTGTGTGTGAAGATTTTCAGAAAGAAGAGCAAACAGCTACGTGCAATCCCCCACCCCAGGAGATCAGGACCATGACCTGCTCTTTCCCACCACCAGAGAGGGGACTGTCCCCTTGCCGAGGTCCGTATCAACAGTTGCTCAACTCCTGCTCCTCTTCAGTGCTCTGAATCCGAGACGTAAGAAGGCTGAGTCCATCTCCACACCAGCATATCCTCTCCCGCTACCCTGTGTGACTCTGTCTGAATCCGTGACTCATTGGAAGCCAGGAAGTCCACAGCTCTCTCCCACACCCGCTTCATTTTTTTTCTGCAAGAAACAGCAAGAAAAGGAAAACAGATGAGAATCATCTCCCCATTGTGCTTTCCTGCTTACAGCAACTGTGCTTGCTCATCAAGCTACCGTTAGCTGCCTCCCCTTCCCTGTGCAGACAGTAAAGGGGATTAAACCAGAACTCTGGCGTAGCGGCAATTTCAGGCCAGGACATGAAAACACAGGTCCTGCCTGGGGGAGAAGATGAGCCCCTATCTCAGTACCAGCACTTGATGACTGCCCTGAATTTCAAGCTCAATTTGCGTTGTGAAGGGACTCTATTAGCAAACTGCCCTCACCCATTCTATGTGCAGAGATAGCTCAGTCCAGGGAGGACAAACTGAACTTCACCCCAGTTTTGAATCAATGTCTAGTAATTCTGGGTGTCACACACATACAGACCAGCTCAAACCAGCTGGAATTACCACTAGGAGGAAAAGGAGTTTTGTGGCTGATGGAGACTGAGGATGTTTAAGACTCTGCAGCACACACAGCGTGCTGTGTCATCAGAACAAAGTAGCTGCATTTAACTAAAACACAACACTCATGAAGAGATGGAGCAAGCGCCACATAAACCACTGAGAACCAGGCTGCACCTTCTGGCCCCTGGAGCAACTATCTCGACCACAAAGCACCAAAACCAGCCATCTCACTGTATCTCCCTTTCAAGCTGCCCAACTTGAACTGGTAACTTTCTAGGCAGCAACATACGCAACCACTTCAGGAGATCCTCCCAGTCCCCTATTCAATTCATGGGAAGGTTTGTTCTGAAAAGCACAGCACCTGTTGGGAGAATAAGGTACGGCTGAGAAAGAGGATAGCATCTTACATACATGAGATGAAGGGGAGAAAATCAGATGCTCCATGCCCAAGCAGAACAAAATCCAATTACTGTTTGATAGCACATTGACAGTACACCTGTGTGACTGCACAAAATATCAGCCCCAGGACTGTCACATTAATCTGCAGCAGGTTAAGACATAGCCTGAGTTATGTCAAAATCCCTTATAAACTGAAAAGCCAGACAGACTACTTGCAGCCCAGCTTCCCATCAATTGCCTGCGCATGGTCTGCTGCCCTGTAACTGCATTTTTCAGCTGAGCTGAATAACATCATGCTGACAGCCCTCCTTAATGAACAGAATTCAGCTCACCTGCTCTGAGGAGGGATGAGGCTGTCCCGAACATGGAAAATTCCAACATAGGGGTAACGCTCCAAATTCCTTTCCCATTCCTTATAGTGATCCTGGACAACAGCTGGAGGGCAAGAGGACAGGACAGTGAGAGACCTCAACATTGCACACAGGAAAAAGGGGCTATTTGCATTTACAGAGCTACTCGATTCTACCTATGATCTTCTTCACCATTTCATACATGGCTTGTTCCTCTTCCTCCATCTTCCGCCAGCGATACCGAAGGAAGAGCAGGATCCCCCAAAGAGTTATCAGACCTAGGAGAATAAAAAGAAATGGAATTCAGTTACTGACAGACATGTACTTGCTGGATGCTAGCAGGTTTATTTCTGACACTGCCTCTCCCCAGAGGCAGTTTTCGCTCCCTGCTACCCCAGCCTGCTTGGAGCTGAATCCAAGCAGTTCATTTTGTTCACCAGCACAGCGGCACCCTGCAAAACCCTGGGTGCTGACACCACCTGCAGCAGAAGAGCACATGTGGATGTGGAAGAGGTGGTCAGAAGGCCTCATCATGGAGGTCTTTTTGCCCCCATCAGAAATCTCAGCACAACCACAGGGCTTCAATTCTCTTAAGTCCCAGAGCTATCTCTTTGCAAGAGGCCTCCCCCACAATAACCACTTAGGAAGACTGTCAAGCTTCAGTGCTCCGAAGATAGCTGCTTGATAAGGAAATAAAGCCTGAGGCTCCAGTGCCAGCCTGAAATTCAGGAGATCTATATTGAAGGTTTAGCACTGACAAATGCCCCCGTTACAACATGAGCTAACTTTAGTACCTCAGTCTCTGCAATAAACATAACTATCCCCTTTCACCCCACCTTGTCTGGCTAGATTCTAAACTCTCCTAGTCAACACTCATCTCTCGTTATCACTGCGCTCAGTAAGACCTCTGTCACAGCTGGGGCATGATGGACTATTCCAATAAAACCTCTTACACTGAAATGCTACAAGTCACTATTAAAGAGGCCACAAGACTTTGCAGCTTAGTGTGAGTAAAGAAAGAAAAAACTCATTTTTTAGATAGGTTAGCAGCGTTATCTTGCAGGCCACAGTAATGGGTACTCGAGGAATACCCAGAGAGCTAATCAGCTTTCTGATTTAAAGTAAGCATTAAGCACTCACAGCACAAGAGCAGGTCTACAGGTCTCTCTCTGCTGCCAGAACAAAGGTTAATTAGAAATTAACTCATCAGCAGATTCACTTCACCTCTGTCTGTACCTTCATATAGCTGGGAGAATGTGTGCACGCAGGTTCATCTCTACAGCTAGCAAGGGGAGAAGCTGATTACCAACATCAATGACTTACACCAGAAGAACAGGAAGAGGTTCATGATAGCAGTGACCACTGCCCGACGGAAACGGCAGCCAAGGCCCATCTGAGGATGGGCTGATTCAAGACAGAACACTTCCTCCACTTTGGTCACTTGTTCTGAAAGGTCTTTGCCTTTCAACCTGATGAGAAGAGGCAGAAAATCTTCACTGAACAGAACAGACACTCTAACTGCAGTCTTTAATCGAGACAGGAAGAACAAACAGACTGCAGATGCAGTAATTCGTTCTGTACACCACACAGAAAATACACCAACATCCTTGCAGCTCCTCTTTCCAGAACATTTTGGGACTGGCTGCATAGCAAGGCATGGATATGGCTTTAGAAAAGGCAGCAGGGCTGGAACTCCCACTGGTAAACTGAAGTCTCCCTCTGCAGCCTCTCTGACAGCACCTCTCAGCGTGCACAAGATTAAACTTTAAATTGGATTCCCACCTCCCAGCACGAAGAAATGGAAATGTTTACTGAGTCACTCAGCAGCAATTGCAGAGAGAGCGGTTGAGGGAGGCTGTCAGTGTCCAGGGAGGTACACTGTTTTCCTCGGCACAGATGAGCATAAACAGTTTAGCTAAAAAGGTGACAACGCATCAAGTGCATCTGCACTGAGAACAGACACACCTTTGGATAGAATTCCTGGCAAAAGCCATAACATCCTCCTGCAAAATCCCTTCCACACACCTGCTGTGCTGCCCGAGATGCTTTAACTCGCTTCTTTATACACAGATCTACACTGATGCCGTTTCCCTCTTAGACACTCTTAGCCAACAGGCAGCAAGAAACCCAAGTGAGAGCCATCAGAGGAACTGGACTAAAGGGGATTTTATTTTTTAAGCTACTAATTCATTCTGTGTTTGCCATGAATAACCTATTAGTTGAAGGCGTTTTCTCAATTTACTACTGCACAGCTCACAAAGTGCTGTCTCTGGTTACTGGATTCTACAGTAGCTGGAGACACGCTGTTGTTTCCCACCCCCTTGTTTTATTTACAACCCAAATTCCATGAAAATACTTTAAATATGCAGCAGAAGAACCCAGTGAGAGCTCATTTTCAGTTCTGCCTCTCAGACTAGCACCTAGACAAATAATCTCACATAGCATTTGCTACAAGCAGGTTTTGAAGCGTGCTGAACTCCCTCTGATGCTGCGCAGACGGCCTGGAAGTGAATCCATGTGGAGAGCTAATTATGAAAACCAGAAAATGGGAGGATTTTGTACCACACAGCTCCTAACATGAGCACTGTTCCTCTGTAAAAATAGGAACTCGAAAACTCTGGATCCCAGCCCACCTGCAAATCCAAGCCTGTCACTAAGGAAACTACGTCCTGTCCTGGGAATCTGCCACACACCAATAATCAAAGCAGTAGACACTGTCTGATCCTTAGATCACTGCAGCTTTTCAGCTAACATCAAGCAGTGGGAATTCATACAGGTATACCCACCAACTCCAGCATTACTACTGTTACAATTCATTTAATCAGAGATACGTTTAGCAATGTTAAAAATGCAGACAAATGTTAGGCTTCAGAGTTAACACAGTCTGGAGGCAGCCCACACTTCCCAGAGGAAGATAATGATGTCTGCAGACTCTGGATAACAGCCCTCCATTAGGGAATGGCCCAAATGTTGTATTTCTTTACCTGAAAAAAATTGTATTTTTCTTGATTTCTCATGTACTGAAGAAGACTGCTAGCTGAGAAACTAAAGAGAAAAAAAACCCCACTGATGACTGACCAACAGCCTACGTAATCAGTCAGAGCATGACTGCTACTGCTGAACCCAGGACAGCAGTCATTTCAACATGTACTGTGTGTTCTGCCAGAAAGACAACTGACACTGAAGATACCATGCAACAATCCATTTTCCTCTCCTTCTCATCAGGACTTGCTCCAAAGCATTTCAAAGCATGGGTGATGTTACCTACTGATGAGAGTGCTTTGCTGTCTAATAAACCCTGTGGTCAAAGGATGCAGTTTCAGACAATACTGAAGCTCTGTCTCCAGTAACTGTGCTAAAGAAAAGTTTTCTTGAGGAAAGTGGCTCCACGGGCAAATTGAAGCAGCACGTTGATGTCCCAGGACCATGGGCAGGACACCAGGACTGCCACATCTAAACCCTGCAGGAAGCACAACACAACCTTTGATAGCCCCGACCTCAGAGGTACAGTTCATCTGGAAGACAGCATGTCCATGAATGCAATGTCCTGCAGTGCAAGCCTGGGCAACAGGCTCCCCAGGAGTGAGCTCAGTTGCCAGTTTTTGCTGCGGGGCTGTACTTTTCACTTGGAAGCTTGCCCAGCAATCCGTGACAAAGCCAGACCCAGACTGTCTTCTGAAATCTAACGAGGTATGGCAGCTTTTAGGGCACAACCAAAGAGGATGTCAAATTATCTCTCAGCCGATACCCAGAAACGTAATTTAGTGGGCTTCTACTTACCATATTCCTAAATCCTTGTTACTGTTTAGTATCCAGTGCAGGGCAGCTTCAAACTTCTGTGGGGAACTACCAGTTATGTTCTGGACAGAAGAACCCATAAAAAGATTAGTTCTCCATTCATTTAAAATACCAAGTGACATTACTTCATTACAGTAGTTTCATTCTATAGGGTCTGTCCCTGGGTTAATTCTTATCATAATTCTGCAAACTGAAGGAAGGAAAACCAAATCTGAAGGTCTGCCCGGACTAAAGTCTTCTGACTACAGTAGGTGATGCATGAAGCACTCTGTGAAATAACACTAGCCCAGACCGTTAAGACTAACCACTAAATACAACATAATCTTGCTGACAGTTTACCATGAAAGAAATGGAATACTAGATCAAAGCAGTCTGTCTTCTGACACTCTGGGGTATAGAAAAATCCTTCTTCTGCCCAGCCCTCAATCCAAGGAAAATTCTGGTTTCAGAAGACTGATGACTATGGTGAAACAACAAACCATTAAGTTAGATTTACAGGGGCTGAACCAGAGATGTAGGAGATTATTCAAAAGAACTGCTGAGAACAGGCCTGGCCAAAGGGGAAGCTAGAGATAGAGGAAAGAATCAGAACAGGATAAGGAAGTAAAACAGATGGTGAATCACTTCAGTATCTATTATTTATTGCCTTATAAGAGACAAAGCACTATGTTATAACAATAGCTGTTCACAGCCTACTCACCACCACATGATCCTTTGCTTCACTAACCCAAATGCATTTGCTTTTTAGATTCTCAGGGTTTCCACATTCAAAATTACCTGGTAAAAAAGTCAAAGAGAAATAATGTTATGAAAAAAAAGTCTTTCAACACTTCAGAAACACACTGAAGTGTCCGGGAACGCTATCCTTCAAAGTTGGCTACACCTCCAAGCAAAATGATTACAAGATAAGATTTATACTGTTGGCAGGTAAGATTATGACTCTTGATAAAATGCTCAGCCACTGCATATAGGTTGAATAAGGGCAATCAAACCTCGTGCTTCAATGTGTGAGCTCCTCCACACAGAATGAGGGGAAAAATACTGTTGGAGTACATAACCACCTCTCTGACCTAACACCCTACAGAAGGGCTCCTTCCATGAGGTATCAAAGACTGCAGTGTTGGAGTCAACGATCAGCATTCAAAATGCTTTTAAGGAGCCTAAATCACAGCTCTACTTTCCACCCAGGCAGAAGAATGCTGGTGAGGAACATCTAAATCTTGCTTCACAAAGCTGACCAAGCAAATATGCTGAGAGACTGTGTAAAACTGATGGAAATTCTGCAGTCTGGTCTGATCTGAAGAGATTTAGAAATTCTATGAAGCTTAAGTATCTAAAGACTTCAGCCTTGTTGAGGTCTGAAATCTAGTAAATGGAACTTAAGGACTTCTACTAATTAACACTACATATCTTGCTAAACAAGTTACTACTCACACACTGCATATCTAGCAGCCTTCTCCATCACAAAATACTAGTTATAGGCCAGATTTGCTCAAACATAGTAGAGACTGGAGGAACTGGTGTGCTCTGTCAGCTCCTCAGCCAAGACAGCCTGTTTTAGTCTGCACTGAGAATAAAAGAGTCACTCACATCATCAGCTGCTGTGTTTCAGCAGAGCTGAATCCCTTAAGTTGCTTTAGCTTTATTTGTAAGAACACATCAGCTTACACTTACTGGCTCTGAGTGCCTTGAAGACAATTTCATGATGCTGGTAGAAGAAAACCATAAACCGGAGTATTTCTACCCCACATTCCAAACATATCAAGTGCAAATAAGGACCACTCCACAAGAGCACACTAACACGAGGGCATTAGCTAAGCACGATTCAGAATACACACATCTTTCTCTATTTTTCTGTTACCTGACTTTCTCAGAGCTCTTCAGGTGGAACTGACAGTTCCAGAAACCCCACTCTTCAAACTGAGGTTTAAAATGTCCAGGCAGCTGGGAGAGGCAGTTTGCTGTATGCTCGCAAGCGTGCTAGAATGCCAATTGGAACTTACCAGCTTGAACGGATAAGTAGTTGTACAACTCGTGCAGCACGTTCATTACTACATCCTTCTGTTTAGCTTGACAGAACTGAAAGTCAGAAACAGGTAACAAACATGAACAGGCTGGCAGCAACAGGACAATGGTCAGACAAAACTAAAAATACCAGAACAACACACCAGCAGTGTGTTTGGCTCAGTCATGCACCACTAGCTCAAACTAAACACACCTGCAGCAAAGATTCACAGTTCATGAGTCAAATCAAGCGAGCGCATCCCCAGCCCAGGCTGTACCACCAGACAGCTGCCCGATCACTCATGGATTCTCTGCCTCCAAAACATCCCATAAACATAACTCTGAATCCAATGCAAAATTTTCTCTCTCCGAATAATACATTAGGATAAAAAAAAACGGGGCTCTACAAACCCTTCATGATGGAGTTCAGGGAATTAGTTGGATTAAATCTTGTATTGCTAAGGCTGACCACAGCTTTATTGCAAACCAATACCGCTTCTGTTACAATATTAAAGAAATTGATTCATGTAATTGGGAATTTAAATTTTTATCTTTCAGGGTCTCAGACACAGCCCTAATTTAATCTGCCCCATTAATTGCAACTCATCGAGCCACAGTTTTTCTGTAAACCAACAGAACTAATCATTCTGCTGTGCTACTGGTATGAGTGGAAGTTACCTACAGTAATTACTCTTGTGTGAGAATCCCCAAGCCACAGTACTTGAAGATAAATAAATAGATGCTTACATCATCTGTTCTTTTGTCACAATCCACAGGCAAGAGATTAACTACGAGAGAGAAGGGGAGGGTGAGTTAGTTGGCTGCAAAACAAGAGCTTTGATCAAGAAAGTAATTATCTTTTTATAAGAAGGCTCTACTTTAAAGCCTGATTCTGCTGTTCTGACTCTCACCCTACAGTACCTTGCTATGCAAATAGCACATTCAAAGCACAGCTTTGGTAGGCAGCAAAACAAATAAAACGGGTGCAAGTGATGAATTCCGTGCAGCTGGAAATTAAAAACTGGGCTCTGAATGTTTTAACAGCTCCTGTTCAAGACATTTCATGTTCCTTTACTATCCCACACCTTCACGCTGATCTTCTACCATCTAGTAATGCCACTCGCTGCATGCCACGGTCACCTGAAATATCACGGTGATAACAGGGATTTAAATCAAGCCTCCTCAAGGCAAAAGCAGAGGGCTTATTTTAGCTGGAGCTGTTAGCTCTGCAGCTATGGCCTCTGGTTTAAACAGCTCCCTCCTGCCCCAACAACTCGGCCACTGGTCCACCATGCAGCACTTTCTGGCAATCTGAACCACTCGAGAACTTCAGAATTTGCTGCTGTGCAGCAAGATTCCTTGCTTCAAAATATCATTGGTGTCAAAATACCCAGCAAAGGTGGAAAGGCTGCATTAGAAATACAGTGACATTGGAGAGTTTTTATTCTCACTTGGAGAAAGCAGGAGAGCTTTCCCAACCCATACCCATGCAAAGCACACAAACACCTACAGCAGGCTGAGTTTAAGGACTTGCACCTTCCTAACTGCACCCAAACTCCTTCTTTCAGTTCAAAGCCATGGAATGGCACCACTTCCATTCCAATACTGTTCCAGCTGGGGAATTCTGCTTTAAAAACTGGGAGACAGGGAAGCCCCTTTTCATTTCAAAGCTCTGCCACCCCCGAAGTGCTGAAGAATCAATTCCACCACTGTAGTGCCAGGATAAAGGCCACGAAAGGCTGTGCTGTGATGAAGCCAACATTAAAAACACACAACGGGCAATTACACAGACATTATGTTACACAATAGACAACCATAAAACACATCCTTGGCCAAGCAGAAATGTCACTCTCCATAAAACCCATGGTTTTGAAGGACCAAAGGCCAAATTCATTTGGAAAAAAGCACACACTTGACTTACTTTCCATAACTAACAACGTTTCCCACGGGCAAAGGGAGATGGAAATGGGGACAAGAGCAGAGCTGTCAGGTTATGGCAATGAGAATGATAAATGCGATGGTGATGGAAGTCATAAAAAGCAAGGAAAAAAGAAAGGTGAAGAATGAAGTTCAAACCCAGGATGCAACCAGTGCACGTACAGTTCTCCTCTCTCTTGTCAAGCCAGCCTGACCCCATCATCTTCACCACGAGGATGCCCACAAAAATGAGCAGCAGCACGACGCTGGCGAAGCAAAGGAACTGGGAGAGGTAGTACTCGAGGCCTTTGCCCTTTCCCTCTGTCTGCTGCCTCGGGGCTGACCGCAACAAGCGAGTCCGGGGGGTTACTCCTTGTCCTGCTCCCGACCTGTCCCACCAGCTCCCCGAGGCCAGCCCCGCATCGGTGGTAGCCCTCCATGGGAGCCGCCGCATCAACCCCCCTCCCCAGCTGCCTGCCTCCTTCTCCACTCCAGAAGCCAAGTCCTCTTTCCCTCTCCCAACCCGGTGACTCAAGCTTCCCGACGAGGTGCCCCAATGGGTGCTGGGGGTCACCTCGCTTTCCCTTCTCCACCAGCTATTAGAGAGCCCCTTCCTTTCCCCTGCCGTCTCCCACTGAGCTCGGGAGCTCTGGCCCCCAATTCCTCCTCCCAGCGTGCTCCAATGGCTCCTGGATTTCAGGCCCTCATCGCTGGAAAGGGGCTTGGAGCCGAGCCCCCCGCTCCTGCCTGTGAAGGAGCCCCAGGAGGACGTGGAGCTCAGCCCCCCAACCCCATCCAGGGATGACCCTGACCCAGCCCTGATGCCGAGCCCCCCACTTCTCTCTGCGGATGGGCTCCACTGGGATGTGGAATCCAGCTCCCGAAACCTATCCAGGGATGGCCTCAACCCACTGCTGAGCCCCCCACTTCTCTCTGTGGACGTGCCCCACTGTGCTGAGGAGCCTGAGCCCCGAAACCCATCCAGGGACGGCTCTGACCCAGCACTGAGCTCCTCACTCCTCTCCGTAAGCGTACTCCAATGGGACGTGGAGCCTGAGCTCCGAAACCCATCCAGGGACGTGCCCAGCCCGGTGCCGAGCCCCCTGCTTCTCTCTGCAGCCGCGTCCCACTGGGACGTGGGGCTCAGGCCCCCGCTTCTCTCTATGGACGCGTCCCACTGTGAGGAGGAGCTCAGCCCCCCGAGCCCGCCCAGGGACAGCCCCAGCCCGGCCCCGGCAGCCCCGCTTCTCTCCACAGACGCCCCCCACTGCGCCGAGGGGCTCAGCCCCCCAAAGCCATCCCGGGACGGGCCGCCCTCAGCCCTGGAGCCGAATCCTCCGCCGCGGCCCGGCGGAGACCCCCGGGAGTCCCCCCAGGCCACCCCGCCGCCCTCCCCAGACGTCCCCCAGCGGGACGCTGGCAGCCGCCCCCCTTCCTCCTCCTCCTCCTCTTCCTCCTCCTCCTCCTCACTGTCGCGGGCGGCCCCGGTGGAGCTGAGGTTGAAGCCGGAGCGCTGCCGCGAGGGCGAGGCCTGCTGCGGCCTGGCGGGGGTGCGGGCCGGGCTGTGCGGAGCTCCGCGGCCCCTGCGCCGGGCCGCCGCCACCTCAGCCCGCAGGCAGCCCAGCTTCTTCAAGTAGACCTTGCGGGTGGTGGCGGTGATGGGCCCCGGCCGGTAACCGAGCGCCACCAGCTCCTTCCGGAGCTCCGCGTCTGTCAGCTCCGCCATGGCTGACACCAGGCCGCACCGGAAGCGCTCTGCGAGCGGGGAAGCGCGGCCGCCATCTTGGGAGGGGCCCGGCGCACCCGCGCCGGCGGCCATTTGGGGAAGGGCAGACGCGGGGCTCCCGCGGCCGCCATGTTGAGGAGGAAGGAGGTGGGAGGGGGGGGACGGGACTGAGCGCCATATTGAGAAGGTGGAGGGAAAGCGCCGCCATCTTGTGAGGGCAGGGTCGCTGGTTCCGCCATGTTGGGGAGGTCGCGGCGTCCTCGCCGAGCCGGGCTGGCGTCCGGCGGGAGCTGTTCACCTCACAGGCAGGAGGAAGATGGCGAAAGCGGAGGGCAAAAGTAGTCTGTGGCACTGTGTCGCTGCCCCACCACCCTGCGACCCTGCTCACGAGCAAGCAGGGAGGTTGTGCGCCTCTCGCCTCACTTCGAGCTACGCCGGTGTATTGACACCATTAGGGGCATTGATGAGGAGAAAGAAGTGGCTTTCCCAGTCCCCCTGCCACCTACACACAGGTTTTCCTCCTCATCGTTGCCAAGTTACAGTCGTCTCCCTGGCACTCATCAAGCACGCTGGAGCTTTGCCACCGCTCCAGGCAGGATCAGGATCTGGGTCCTTGGGATATTTGCTGGGGAAGGAGGTTCCTTGCGTCCTTTGCAGCCTAAAACCAAGCAGCGACTTGCAGATGGATTTTGGTGTGGGGCAGCTATGTACAGTCATTGCGTTTTCCTGCCGCCGCCTGTAGAAGCAGGCACTGAAAGTGGCTGAAACACCGTGAAATCCCCTAATTTCGGGGTTTAATTAAAGAAAATGAGAAAGCAGTGATGGCTGCGTGCAGGCTGCCTGTGCATCTCTGTATGACTGATTGTGTGGTACCAGCGTGCTGGGAAGTACAAAGTCCCCCCTCCGCTTACCAACACAAACTGTGCCGTCACGGCATCCTTAGGGACACCCCTCCTTTCAGCCTCCCTTTGCTGCTGTGCCCTTCTTGCCGAGGCACCGGGCAAACCTCACCTCGCTCTTCCTCATTCACGCAAGCAAGCAGCCAGGAGATGCTGAGCGGTGCTCGTCCGGTGAGCAACCGCGAGCAGATGAGGCCAGGGAGCCCGTTAAAAGAGCGATCCTCAGTGCCGATGGGAAGTGTGAACGTGCGAAGCCAAGCCTCCCCTGCTCGCTAGCTTGGGAAGCACGACTGACAGCTAATAATTTGGAGCAGTGTCTAATGTAAATACAGAAGGAGAACATGCGCTGAAGTATGCGGCTCCCGTGAGCTCCCAGCTTCCAGTCTGGAGCAGCTCTGCCCAGACATGCAGGCACCTGCTGGTGTCTGAGCCGGAGCTGATAGAAGGCCAGGAATTAAATGAACACCTCTCATTTTAGAGGAAAAGAAAAAATACAGCCCAAAAAAAAAACACCCCAAACCCATCCTTTCCGCTTCTGCTTCTGGAGGTCAGGGAAGAGTCAGGTCTCACAAGATCCTGCCCCTCTGCTCAGCTCTTGTGAGACCTCACCTGGAGCACTGTGTGCAGTTCTGGTGTCCTCAATGTAAAAAGGACATGGAACTGTTGGAGCAAGTCCAGAGGAGGCCATGAGGATGAGCAGGGGCTGGAGCACCTCCTGTATGGAGCCAGGCTGAGGAAGTTGGGGCTGTTCAGCCTGGAGAAGAGAAGCTGCTTGGAGACCTCATAGCAGCCTTCCAGTATCTGAAGGGGGCCTATAGGGATGCTGGGGAGGGACTCTTCATTAGGAACTGTAGTGACAGAACAAGGGGTAACAGGTTAAAACTTAAACAGGGGAAGTTTAGATTGGATATAAGGAGGAAATTCTTTCCTGTGAGGGTGCTGAGGCACTGGAATGGGTTGCCCAGGGAAGCTGTGAATGCTCCACCCCTGGCAGTGTTCAAGACCAGGTTGGGTAGAGCCTTGGGTGCCATGGTTTAGTGTGAGGTGTCCCTACCCATGGCAGGGGAGTTGGAACTGGATGATCTTAAGGTCCTTTCCAACCCAAACCATTCTATGATTCTAAGTTCCACCAGGGCAGAGTTTTGCCATTGCATGAACCTTAGCGTGCAGGACGTGGGAATGATGTTGGAGAACTGGAGGCCTGCAGAAGAGCTGTGATTCCTCTGCAGAAGGGATGTTGGCAGCACCGTTACTCAGCAGGAACAGATGCCTCTTCTTTGCGGAGAGAAATCCACAGCTGTGCTCCCTTCCTCCCTAGCAAGACAAACCCTGGGAGCATCCCTGCTTCCCTGGAAAGTACCTGAACACTGTGGAGAAGGCAGTAGGAGAGAAGCCTCTGTCTCTCAGATGTGACAGAGCTCATTCCTCATGGACAGTCACTTATTTGCCACCTATCAGCCATCCCCACAGCTCTGGGCAGCAGCAGGGGCTGCCAGGACGAGCACAGGCTGCTGATGCTGCAGATGGGCTGCGATGCTCAGGGATGCTCAGCTGTGAAAAGCCACTTTCCCAGCCCACGGTGTAGCTCTCGAATGTCTTGGCTGTAAATATCCTGAGCTGGATGTGGGAAGATGGGACAGCAAGGAGGGGACAGCCTCCACCTTCCCTGCTAGCCCAGAAGCTGCCTTAGGCCTGCTGGCAGTGACTCAGATGCCGAATAGGAAGAGCAGGCGTGCCGTGCCATCTGCTTCTCCTCTGGAAGTATTGAGACCGGACTGGTGTAAGCAGAGGGGTAGAAATAGATCTGCACCCTCTCCATAAGGTGCTTGAAGAGGGGAGAGTGCTGCACCCCAAAAAGCACGGGCAGCAGATGAACCCCTCTGCCTCCACTAAGCAGCTGCTTTAAAACCCCGCCATCCCACCCGGTCTTCTTATCCCATGGCATTTGGGTGACAGTCCTGCATATGTCACCAGAGAGGTGTCAGCTCTGACTTGGAAGCCGGCTGTGCCGATTTAGCACCCTGTCACTCGGAGCCGCGCACAGGCACGACCCGAGAACACCGCTCCTCAGCCGCCCCATCGCATGCCGTGTCCTCAGCCCCCCGAGGCTTTCCTCTCCTCTTTTCCCTGCCTCCTTCTCCCAACTGCTTGGCTGCTCATCCTGCCACCACACTGTTGCTCGGCTGCTGGAGCAGCAGCATCTTCCCACCCGCTTGCAGGCATGGACTTTGGTGCTGCTTGGCTGCCAAAGCAGCCTTCCAGGACACTGGGGATACAGCTCTGCTGTGCAACACAGGGACCAGTTTGCTCTTTAAGATACGACTTCTCCTTGACAGTGGGAGTCATGCCTGGGAGGATGGTTGAGGTCCTTACATCATCTCCTTCCAGCACAAGGGTACCTGTTCTTTTCCCTTAGTCCCCTGAGGGTAGAAGGAATTTAATTCCAAAAGCTGAAGGCCCCCTGTACTTTGGTGTGTATTTGGACAGCACAGTTGTTGCTGCAGGACCAGACAGAGGGCTCATATGGTTACTCTCACATACATCCCTGAGCTGGGTCAACTGGGAAGAGCCTTTGGCAGAACAGATGGCAGGGTAAAAGCAGGCCTTTGCTGCTGCTGCTGCTTGGCTGGGGCAAAACGTAAGCATAGAGGCAGGTATCCCTGCAAAGTCACATTGATGGATCTCCTCATGGAAATCTCCACAGCATCAGCCCCACCGTCACCCTGGTGGGAAATGGTCCAGGAAGCAAATCCAAGAGGCTCATGTTCGCTTTCTTGCTTGCTGTTGCTGGGAAACTTTCCTTCCCAGATGGCACAGGGGAGCTGTCAGCCTGGAAAACGACGGGAACAGAAGAGCTGGGCAAAGGGACATGCCAGAGAGCTTGTGTGGGTTGTTAGGAGCAGTTTGTCCCTCAAGAGGAGATGTTTCCCTGTGGCAGGGCAAAATTAAACCTGGGATAAAGGTTTGGGTCTTTCAGAACTAAGAACTCAACAGCCTTGTCTCTGATCTTCCTGGGCACTGGTGTAAATGTGATGCAGCTCCTCCAGTGATTTCCATGCCAGATATTGTGTGTATTGCTCCACTGCAGACTGACTTGCACAGGCTGAGCTCCTGGCGCCCAGCAATACATGCAGTTGCTTCCACTTTCACTCTAATAGAATGCATTACTTTCTCTCTTCCTCCCGCTCAGACTCATTTATAGTGATTTCATAGCTCAACCTGCCTCAGCAATAATCCCTGCAAACACCGAGTTACACTGAGCTCATCAGTCCATGGACTAGGAGCATGCCTTTGAATCGATGTGAAAGCTGGAATCCACTCCATGCTGGATGTTACATTATACATTGGGAGATTTCTTGTCTCCTAAGGGATGGCTTGCAGGAGAGAGCGTACCGAGAAGTGTTGTTCTAGCACAAACACAGCTATTTAAATGAGCCAGTGAGAACAGAATTTGTGTTAGGTTGGGAGGATAAAATTGGATTGAAATTGGGTATACCATTGATCTCATCCGTCCTTACTTTACATATGGTGGATTTCCTGCTGCCAGTATAAAGGAGCAGCTCTAAAATAAGCCAAAGGTATGTAAATGGAGAGCAGTATGTTCAAGTGGAATTACAATTTCACCTCTAGATTTGTCTGAGAAGCAGAAATAAGGCCAGAGCTCTGTGTTGGTTCACACACACGGTGCCTGTTCACATCATAGCTATGGGAGAGGTGCTCCTCACCACGTTATTGAGATGTAAATCGCCTGGGTGAGGAAGGGGGGGGGCGTTAGGAGCACAGGTAGAAACCGCAAACCAGCGTCTCCCGTGTTCTCCCAGCAGGGTGGGAGCGTGTGCCCAGAGCCCGCAGCACTCCTCATCCTGCACTTGTATCCTTGCCTTGGCTAGGAGATCTGGGAAGGATTTGCCTCAGTTTCCTTCATTGCTGAAAGGGAGGGATGAAACTCATTAGTCCACAAAGATTGATAACTCAGGCTTTGCAGTGTGCTTTGCACTGCTCAGAAGGACAGCGATGTTCTCCAGAACTGGAAACCCTCCTTCTCCTTCCCACACTTGCTGCTTGCCATCTGGCTGAGAGGCATGCAGAAAAGGAGACCCAAATCCTCCATTTAATTATACTGTGTGATTTATTATCTCACCTCAGATTTTGTTGTTCATCTCTTTTACAGGTTTCATTTACACATGGAGCCTTTTAGCTTTAGCAGGCTACATCGCTTTCCCTTCTGATTCTGCAGATATCAGTCAGCCAAAAAGAAGAGAGACAAAAGAGCAATTGTCCTTAAGTTCTCAGTCAGTCTTTCCTAGGCTTTATATATTGTATCCTTCTATTCTGCTCCCTAGCTCAAAAGCTGGAATGCAAGCCGAAGCAGAAGAACAACTTCCACAGGACCAGTAGGGACCCTCGTTTGGGACATTTAAGCCCAAATACGACTAAGGTCTGGAGGTAACACTAGTGAAACCCATTGCACCACCCCTCAAACCTGCAGGCAGGAGTGAGCTGCATGACGCTGCCCCTGCATGTTTTCTGTAGCAATTACCATGAGCTAAAAACAAAGCCTAGGGTGGGATTTGTTAGCACTGAACACCTCGGATTGCAGCTCATTCCAGCTGTAATGGAGTGTTGAGCAGGGTTCAGCTCTGCAGGGGCTGAGCTGCTCGCAGGTGTAGCCTGCCTTGCAAACTATTGGAAATTGCACCCTGAAGACCGAGAAGGAGTAGGAAAGTGTTGGGATCTGCTGGGAAGTGTTGCAATGCTGCTAACAGTCAGTATCAGCTCAAGGGCCCAAACAGCACCCTAAAACAGAGAATAACCTTCCCAGAAGAAGAGTGCACGGGAGCGGGTGAGGACTCTGTAAAGGGAGCAAACACGACACAAAAGCCCTTCTGAGGAATATAAATATCTCCGTGATGATGAGCTGGTGAAAGGAGGGAAAGGCAGAACTCCCAAGGCAGAAATCAACCTGCTGACAGAACCGTCTGGGGTGTCCTGTAACATCTCTGCTAGCAGTTTCTTCAGGACAGCTTGGTACTTTTCCAGCTGCCTTGGGATGAGGCACATCCCAGCTCTGCCAGGAACTGCCCGCTGAGGGGGCGGAAGGCAGAAACATTAGAAGGAAAAGCTGAGGAGAGCAGACAGAGGCAGGTTGTGGAGCTCAGACCCCGCTTTGGTCAAGTTGGAAGAGGGTCTGGGGCTGATTTGAAGGGACAAGGATGATCCTCATGTAGGGAGGAAAGCAACATTTTGAAGTCAATGCAGTCTTGTGCTGTTCAGAGGGCCAGAGTTTTCATGCATTGGATCAGCTATGGGCTGACTCGGAAACACAGATGAAAGCTCCTCCTGGCCACAGAGACTGTAAAGATGAAAATCATTGATTATGATCCTCCACTATCTCACACCCTGACCCTTCAAGCCCTCAGCTTCACTGGTGCTGGTGAAGCACCCTGCCTTAATAAAGGCTGAGGATGAAGCATCATCCTGCCTCCAGCCTGACTGACTTTGAGCCAGCTGTGGCTCAGATGTGCCTGAAGTAAATAGAGTTGTTCTGGAGGCACAGGAGGGCTTGTGGTTGCAGCAGGGAAGGGTGTGCACACTGGGATGTGCCAATTATTTAATGCTTTGAAGTGTGAATCCTTGCTGTTTAAATCCTATTATTGCTTCTTGGTGCACCATGGCTGTAATAGCTGCACATTAACCTGCAAAGTCTTGGCCTGATTCCAGTGTAGCTGGTTTGGGGTGGACCTCCACACTGCTGCTGGTGGAGAGCACTGCTGAGCTCCCTGCAGGAGGGGCTACATGGGCAGGGCAAAGAACAACCTGGATTCAGGTGGAAAAGCACAGTTTTCAGACTTGGCTAACCAGGTAAGCATGCCTTTGAGGGCTTAGACTGGCACTTAAATCCCTAAACCCAGCAATTTTCTGCTCCTTTCCCATTTATGGGACTAAACTCGGCTTCAAGACCCTTCTTCCCAGCCCAAAGAGAAAAGCCAAAGTTGCTTTGGGATATGACAAACGTGACAGGACATGTAAAGTGGATTGAAGGCTGTGCTCGGTGTCAAACTGCCTGCTGTGCACTTGCTTGGGTTTGAACAGATGTCTAGAAGAGCCTCAATCACTGGCAGACGCATAGCTACAAGGGCTGTGATGTATGAACCATCGATCTGGGGACCATGCGTGGGTCCTTATCATCTTCCTCAAGCAGGCTGAAGGATGACTGTGCTCCCCCCAAAAAGCAATTGCTACCCACAGCAAGTGGATAGGTGCTGGAAATAAGATTTCTCCCCAGTATCAATGGGTAGTGCTGTGCAAGGAGAGCTCACTTCGGCTGTGTTTAAGGAGCTGCAGTCTCTGAGGCTGCCTGACACCTTTCAACAGTATTAGTTTCACATCAAAAGAGAGAACGTTCTCCTCTCTGCACATCCCAGAGGTGACAACCATCTGGAGGATGGTTAATTATTTATTACAACAAAAAGACTCATCACTGTGGTGATGGGAGGCTGCAGCTTCTCTGTCAAAATCACAGCCACTAGCATGGAGGAAAGAAAAACGAGCCCCACCAGCTGCAGATGATCCCCCCCACAGGTCTTCTGGTTCTTATGCAAAGGATCTAGGCTCTTCCTTTCTAGTCTTACAGCCTAAAGGTTGTCTCTGCCCTCTCCCATAGCCCTTCACTTTGGGGTGAGTGAGGGACTGCCAGTATCAGGGTATCTCCTGTTGAACAGGAGGGGCAGATGACGGAGATGAAAGCTTGGGGAATGAGGGAGGAGGAAACCTTTCCTGAGTCATTCATGGCTCCAGCCCCTGCAGTTTCTTAGGGGTTACCTGCATTTTATGGGGTTTGCTCTGCATGAAAAGGGCATGAAGTCCTCAGTCTGTTCAGCCAGCAGAGACACTGCATATACCACAAGTGAACTGGCCACTGCCTCCTTTGAAACCATCATGAGAATCTAAATGACACAGGAAAGAAGATACCAGGGTAACAGTGGAGAGGGCCATCTGACAACAAATCCCTCTGGCTTTTGACCAGCTGCAATCTAATTTATCCACCAGCTAACCAGAGGTATATTTACTCTCCCAGTTGCTCCTGAGCTGAGAATAGAAGTGTCTTGACTGACAATTCTCCTCTCAAATCTTTTTCTGTAAACAGATTTGTTCTTTAGCAATATCTCCAGGGACTTCAAGCCCAGCCCTTGAGCACTGTTAAAGACTCTCTCTGTTCTGCAAGCTTCAGCCCTCCAGCTCTTCTAGTTTAAGACCCACACACACACTCCCATCAGTCCCACTGGCAGCGAGGGAGACAGAGTGATGCTGCGAGAGAGACAGACCTGGAGACAGCTGTTTTGTTAAATTTTATCTTCATATTCCTCACCCCTGCAAACCCTCCTTGATGGGCTGAATCTTTTAATAAGCCTCGCTGGGTCCAGGAGAGCTGGGAACTGCATTTGCCAGCACAGCTCCATAACAGCCTAGTATAAAGTGCTTTAGAAAGTACCTTCTGAAGTGATTTAACAGCAGCTTCACGTCAGAAGAGGACTTACATAAACATTAAATGCTCTCTTTAAATATTAAAATATTCTCTCGGGATGAATTTAATGAAGCCTGGTCCCACTGCTTCAGCGCGCTACCTGATCTGAGCCTGGTCCTGAGTTAGTGTCCGAAACCTCTTGGAAGTACTGAAAGACATTGTGAGGCCACGTTTCACCCCTATGTTAGCTTTCCCATAAATATCAGCTGGATTTGAAGTTAATAAAGATTCCCTTTCTGTCACATCCCGCTCCTCTCCCTGCACCCTGCTCAGGGCAGCACTGGGGCCATCTCCCCCTTGTCCACCCTTGCTGGGACATCAGAGCTGTCACTGCACTGAGACATGGCTCTGGGTGACCCAGCCAGATCCGTTGTTTGCTGCAGTGATCGTAAGAGAATTGCTCAGGCTTTCCCTTCGCAATACAATGTGTTGATATGCAGATGTGTTGATTATGTGGTGTTATCTCAACAGTGCCAATCTTTTCATTTATCACCACAATAAAATACTGCCATATTGAAAGAAATAAACCTGGGCACCTCCTTTATTTCTTCCTGACTACCCCTTTGTGAACTGATTCGCTCCCTCTTCCCCCAGAGGAACCCCCACACACTGCTCCAGTCAAAACCGGTAATTTCTGATTGTCTCTTCCTCAATTTGTAAGCAGGACGTGTCTTTTGCACCTGAGATGTCCAGCTCAATGCCTCTCCAGGCAGACATGTACTCTGCTGTTAGTGAATATGCTTCCCAGCTACAAAAGAGAAGGCACAATGCAGGAAGATCCCAAGTTCAGCATCAGCACAACAAAGTACTGCACCCTTGTGGGGCATTGCCCAGCTCTGTTTGTGCCTGTGTAAAATGGGGTGAAATGCCAGTTTGGAGGCAGGAGGGGTGAACATCCACCGGGTATTGGTGTGAGCACAGTGACAAGTCAGAGCATTTATCTACCTAGCTGTCTTCCAAAGCAATCGAATCCTCCCTGTCGATAGGGACTGTCTGAGACTCACGGTCTGTCTGCCCAAAGCAGAGGGCACCCAGCTCCAGCACTGCTGCAGCACGCTCCGGTGTCTGCTGGGTTCTCACAGCAAGTGAGGGGCAGGAGCTGGTGAAATCGATGCTCCCGTGCTGGGGGATGAGCAGAGAGCATCTTTCCCCTTGTTTAAGCACCGGTTTTGCTCCCTCCAGCTTGTCAGGGCTCTCTCCACTGAAGCCAGCACATGCTGGTAACACATTTATCTGAGCACTTATGAAGTACCCACTCAGCTTGAAGTGGGAACAGAGACCAAGGAGCTACCTGGTGAGTGCAGCCATGGGATGCTGGAGACCAGATCTCTGCATGCTCCTGGTCACCCGTGGATGCCTTTCCCACCCTTTATCTACGGTACAGGCACCTGTGCACACTCACTCACCTGCATTGTGGTCCCTCTGTATTTACTGCAGCTTAGCAATTCTACCTGTAAAACTTCCAGAGAGGTCAGCAGATCTGCTCTCCCTAGGCCCACATGCACGTGTGTTCGTGAAAAGGACATTATACAACAGGGGGTTTATTTCCCCTCCCTTTGCTAAAGAGTCTGCACAAAGCCCGTTTGACACCGGTTCTCATTTTAATTGACTTTCCCAGTATCTTGTCATGGTTATGACGGATGCAGCTGACGAGTCAGCAGATGGTGTTGGGAAGTGACAAATTAGTTACCACGAAAGGTCACTTTTTCAAAGCATTAAACTTTCCCATGTCTTGTCCCCTTTTACCTCATACCCGCTGCTGGCTGGCCCGTCTCCCATCCATCCACAATGAAGCTTTCTGCACTGGAAAGGACAACCTTTACAATTAGAAGGGATGAAAATTAATCATATCTGTGTTAGCTGCATGGTGTCTGCCAGGTTCATGTCTTAATTACGCAAGAGGACTCAAAAAGGAAAGGAAACAGAGCTGAAAACAAGGACCTGGCTGAGACTTCTTCAGTGGAAGCACTGGAATGGCTGGGAGCAACAGGCGGCTTTTTACTCTAGGTTTGCCCAGTCCACGAAAGCAACTTTTGGTACGTCCCTGTTGCCAATGCAAAATGAGGATAAATGAAAATAAAAATCACAGCTAGAAGCTTCATTCCCCAGCATTATACTGCAAAAACCCTGCCCTGCTGCAGTCCCTCTCACAATTTGCAATCTGCAGCCCCCCTGGAACTCTCCTTGCTTTATGAAGCAAAATTGCAGGAGAATTTAGAAGCTTAGCAGAAATACGACGTGCAAAATGGAGCTGCTCGCAGTTCTGCTTGTACCTAAAGTTAAACGTTTGCCATAATTGGGAGTAATTTTAACAGGAAACCGGCAGTAGTAGTAAAGTCCATTAAGCCGTGTATCAATTGCAGTGTCAAGGAATCAGGGGGAAATGAGCTCCCTGTGCCAGCAACACTGAGCATTTGTCTCCATGTCCTCCAGGCCGCCCTGTGCTCAGGGTATTTTGGCAAGTGGATTGCATAAAAACCAGCAGATAGAAGCCAATGTGAGTCTGAAGCTGAAATTAAGCCCCAGGCTAAGGCAGCGGGTGGAGAGCACGTGGGGGGAGAGTGTGAAGGACCAAAACCCTGCCCTGGCGCTGGGTCAGGCATTGGGGTATCCCCAGCAACGCTGCTGATTCTGGGGTGAACAGCAGAGCCACAGCACCAGCCCTGGCACTACCATGGGCTAAATCTCTCCCCCTCATATCCACAGAGCTCCTTGGATGGGGCTGGCACGTATGAGTAGGAAGGACAGAGCTTTGTGCATCCTGGTTTGCTCTCACGGCCCCCCCATACCCACAGCAGCATCAGGCTTGGACAATCCATGTCCCCAGCCCCAGTTCCCTTTCCCAATGCTCACAGGAACATTTACCTCACCCCACTCGCATCAAGTTGTTCTTGCTCAGAGTCAGATGAACCAAAAACCTGGCTGCTGAGCTGAATGTCTGCAGTCACACAGCCCAGGTTGATGTGGGTAAAGGAGTTCATTTTCGGCTCCCTGCTCTGGAAGTGGGAGCAGAAAGCTCCTTCTCACAACGCAGGCAGCATCCTCCAGCTGCTGTCTCTGCATGAACGCGTTACGGATTCAGCAGGCGCTGCTGAACCTCCTAATGAATAAAGCACCAGTGGCAAATTTTAATGCAGTTTGCAAAATATTAACACTAGGTAAATATTTGGAGAGTCATGAGCTTAAAACACAGGGGAATTTGCAGCATAAATATTGTAAGGGTGCGGAGTTCCTCCTCCCCTCCTCCCCATGCTTGCCTGGCACCCACCTCAGTCTCTCCCCACTGCCTAGTGGTGCAATTCAAGGGCTGGGCAAACATCAATAGCAAGGATTTAGCTCCTGCTGACTCCCCAAACCAGTTCACCCCCTGCTCGAGCAGATAAGGATCTCTTAGATCAACAGGGAATTTTGTCTCCCATTATGTCTGTCTCCTCCCACTCTGCCTGGTTCCTGCAGGCAACCCAGAGACCTTGAGGCTGCTCTTGCTGATGGCAGAGAGCAGTTGGCAAGGTGCAGGTCAGCCACGGGGAAGACTTGAAGGTTTGGATGTGCAGCAGAGGGTAGGGAGCATCCCACCACTTGCCCTTCCACGGCAGTGATCTGTTTTACCTGCAGATACAATGCTGTGTAGCTCTTCAGGACCAACATCTCCAATAGACCCTGGATGGAGCAGCATCTTTGCAGCAGACCCATCTCCAGCAGGATTGCACCAATTTATATCCTCAGCAATTCACTGAACTCCCCTGGGTTTGCAACGTGCTTCCAAGAGCTTCCCATGGGTATTAGAAGCCTGGAAAAGGAATGCTGCACCCCAGAATGCCAAAGCCTCTCTGGAAACCAGGTCTGAGGTGACCCCAAATGCACACCCCAAAATCGGGGAGAGCTGGAAACTCTGCCTCCTGCCTTAATGGAAGGACAAAAGAAAGAGGAAAACGTGTTTCTGGACATAGCTGGGATGGATTTAGCTTCTCTACCAGTGGTGGAGGAGACAGGCGCTGGCCAAAGTGCCCTATCCCATGACAATCATCTTCTATTAGAATTTAAAGAAACCAAGCCAACCCAGCCCCTTTCTTATTAAACCACATTTCTGTGCCTATAAAATCATTCTGGTCTCTCAAACAAGTGGAAAAAAGAAACAAACAAGAGAAAAATGCTCCCTTGCTTTGTTTTTGTTCATTTTTTGGTCACTCCTTTGCCATTCGTTCCCCAGTCTGGAACAAGTGAAGAGAGAAAGGAGAGGAGGTGAGAAAAGAAGATGGGATGCATCTCATCTGTTCCCATTTTGGTTTTCAAATCCAAACCCCCAGGTTTTCACTGGAAGGCTCAGGAGTATTTTTAGGAATGACAGAAGATGCAGTCCCTGTGCAGAGTGGGGCTTGGCTGGGGGTGAGCAGGGCAGGCGAGCGGCCACAGCAGGGATGGGAGATGCTGCCTGCAGCTGATGCAGCTCAGTCAGGGGCTGAGGCTCTGAGGCAGGGCAAGCAGCAGCTCCCTGCTCCCTTCACAGGGATTATGTATTAGATTTGATGGAAGAGCCATTTAGCCTTTACACCTGCTGACCTTTCATTTTCTTATTACCTCCTTTTACATGCACCCCCCCCCCCCACACACACACACTGTTCCCATATCAAACAACAATAGATCAGGTTAAGCACAGGAAGACAAAGGACTAAGGCACCAAGAAGTGCATTAAAGGGCTGGATTGCACTGCCCCATCGGCAGGAGAACGATGTGGGATATTCCTGCTCACACACAGATGCTGTGTTCAGTGCTGTATTGCTGTGGTCACTGTGGCAGATGAAGGTTGCAGGGAGCCCCGTCTCATTGCAGACGGGGAGGTAAGAGCAGTCAGGATCCAACCACCAGCATTTGCAGTGGTTGTCCATGGGGATCATCCTTCCATGGTTGAAGTGTAGTGTGAAAAGGCATCGCTGTGCTCAATGATGCCAGCTCCCAGGAGATTTCCTGATACGGTGGACTGGATTATGCTGGATGCTCAGGATTTATATCAGTGCTTTCAATGGAGAGTCACCCTTCTCATCCCAGAAACCCTCAGCAGTTAA